TAGTTTTCCGCGCGCGCTTGTTTTTTTCTGGTCACGTAAGATTTGTTAAATAAAAGGGAACTCTTTAGCTACAATGTATCAATGTTATGTTATAAAACAAATGGTAAACGCCACAGCGTACACTATTGAGTTATGGATGCACTTGGGAGGTTTGCTAAGCACTCAAGAAGCTAGAGTCGCTCTCGGCTATCGCCACGAGCGACTCTTACGCTTCTTTCGTGTTTAGCAACCTCCCGCGTGCATCCATAACTCAATAGTGTACGCTGTGGTGTTTACCATTTGTTAAGAATTTTCTTCTTTTGTATCATTTCCTGAAAACACGTTTCAAATTAAAATCACTAATTCAACGTCTCTAGTCGTGTGTTTCAAACAGCATATTAAACAGTACCCTTACTCAGAAGAGATTGCGCTAAACAGTAAATTTTTACGAGAAGTACACACGCTACTTTTATTACTATTCAACTTAAATTCATAAGCCATCAATCAAATTCATTTCCATATGATAGACAACTTTCATTATTTCACAATGTCATTATTTCACAATGTCAATTTCTTTTTTGAAATCGGTTTAGTTCATTACTGCCGTTACGAATGGTTCTCAGAGTACTACAAGAGATCATGTGGTCTCTGCTGAAGTTTATTGTCAACAGAAATTTGAGTGGTAGAGGGTTCCGATTAAATTCTTATTTACTAACTCACTAATCAATTATGTTCCTGTGCTGCAACAAGTCTAACAAAATCTAATAGTCTATTGACTACAGTAATTACAAACTATACTAAATTTGTTTTCAGAGTTGATTGAGTAAATTTTGTTTATGATAAGGAGACACTCTGTGTGAGACCCTCGTTACTATTTTGAAACTTTTTACAGAACATCGTAAATTTATATTTGTAAATGAATCTCGATGATTGATTTTTTGCCAGTTTGTTAATTTAGAATATCTGCTGTTGAATCTAGATCTGGATCATTAATTGTTGCTAGTTTGATAATTCAGCTCGTTGTATGTAACCAATGCTAGTGGAAACACACTGATTGCAATGGTAACTGGCAATATAAACCTGTTTGAGTTAATCACTCAAAGATAATGTGTAAGGAGATCATACTGGATAAAATGATATTTAATCAAAACTGCCAAACAAAATCAGTCAAACGTGATTCGTTCCCACCAGCCCGGTTTGAGTACCAGTGGGAGTGTATAGGTCAGGCTTGTAATTGGACTGTAAAATAAAACAGCACTCTGTAATTGGACAGTAAGCGTCATGTGCGCGTGTTGTTTTTATGAAAATGCATAACTACTGGCTGGTTTATCGCCAAATTTTATCATAGTTTTGATTGATTGGTAAAAGGATTCAATGTCGTTCAATTCTGTCTGTGATAATCTTAATTGACAAATCAGACACACCCACTTCGCGGTCGTTCGATTCCCTCAATCACTGCTATGATCACAGACCGAACTGAGCTCCACTCAGTTCTACTGCCATTACTAATTGTAAAGTATGGAAATACAATAAAAATTGGTTTTATTGTGGAGAGGTTTTTATCAAAATTAAACTCCAATGTTGCATTTATTATTTGGGCAAACAGAATTAAGTTTGTATGTTTTTCATGGCCAATTTGCTAAAACAAAAAGAACAAACTATAGCGCAACCCTGATAAGTGCGTTTCTTGAGTACATCGTGAGATCTCGGTGGGAGTTTACTCACCTCCTGCAGACAGTCTGAGAAACGAGTACGACAAGCAAGCGACTGGTGACCAGCACTAACACAAGGGGTGACAGAAAGAAGGAAACAGCGGGTGGCCGCTAAGCAATCCCTTTCCCCAGTTACGCACGATTTACTGTTAGCAGTTTAAGTATTGCCTCTCATGGAATCCTTGGCTTTGGGTGTTTTTTTCCCAAATGGACTCTTTTAAAATAGTGACCTCTGGCTTCACAAATTTCGAAGGGCAAGCCTAAGTCAAAAATTACACAGCTTAATGACATGAGGTTGATCAAGGTGTATGAACCGCCCGATGTGAATCTGCATGTGCAAGAAGAGGGTGAAGAGCCGGAATTAACGGGTTAATTTCACGCGCACGTCAGTAAGATGTGTATGTTGCTTCAGTGGTCCTTTAGTAAGTTAATTTTAAGAAAAAAGTTACCAAAATTATTTAGGGCCGAAAGATGGCGCACACCTCAGACTATAATGCTTGCAGAGGATATCTTTCATCAAGTAAGCTTTGGTATCTCTTACATTAAACCATTCAGTCATGAATTTAGGTTTTTTTCCTCTTTGTGTTTTTTTTATGTCCTCCATTTCCTAGGCTTACTTGACTGTGTATCAACAAAGTTGAAATGGTAAATTAGCCACCGTAATGATTACAAAAGCCGACGTTTCGAGCGTTAGCCCTTCGCTCCGACGAAGGGCTAACGCTCGAAACGTCAGCTTTTGTAATCATTACGGTGGCTAATTTACCATTTCAACTTTGTTGATATATCCAAATTATCTCGTTACTCCCACCGACGCAGCCCCAAACAGTTTCTTTCGAAACTATCAGCCTTTATTACTTGACTGTGAGTTGTCTATATTTAGAAATAAAATCTCACAGGTGAAACGTATTTGAAGATAGCTTGATTTTTGGAGATCATCCCTTAGAATAAAGCGAATGGATTCACCGCGAGGCAATAATGGTTATACTGATCATATATGAATAAAAAAAGGTATGCCTCTCTCTGCGAAAACCCAAAGCTGACTTTTAAGCTTCCTGTTTTGGTTTGTCTGTTTGTTTTTGGTGGCGAAAACCTGACATCTTCAACGCTGAAACCAGACTATTGACAGATCGCATTTACCATTTTACAGCCATATCCCACATCCAAAATTTCGCTTTTTTCGTGATTGTAACCCGCAAATATAAATCCTCGCGAAATTTAAACACGCGAATTTAATACCCATGTAGAAAACTCAAATCATGATGGAATAAGAAAAACAGATTCAGGATTCGTATCCAAAAATACACAAATTATAATTGGGTTTTACAAGAAGGTTCTATTTTTTATTTTCTGTTGTAAACTGAGTAAGTTTACAACGCGAATGGAGGTATCATCTTAAGCTGAATCGCCCCAAAAAATATTTTTCGTGCGGTCGGCAAAACTGCCATTAACTGGTTCTCATTTATTCTTGTAGTTCTCATTTATTCTTGTAAATTTGTGTTTTGCTTATTCCCATTTATTTAGAATAAAACCCCGCGAAATAAGGTCTCGCCAAAATTGTGAAATTAAGTGCCACTAAGCAACTAAGGGCCTCCTCATTAGTCACTAGATACACATAAAAGTTTTTGCTCTTCGACCAAGCTTCTTACCAACTAACCAGGAAAGTCTCGTTTCAACTGAATTCGACAGCGAAACGAGACTAGCTTTTACATGCTTGGTAAGGAAAACAGTGTCCTTGAACTTCAAAAAGACGTTTCGTTTAAATGCGCTTAAATATCTGCCAAACGCTAAGCAACTATCATTTGATGAAAACAACACGTTCGATGCAAATGTATGGCACGTCTTATGTTACGGTAGCGCGTGCTGCTGTTGATTAATAATAACGTAGATCGCAGGCGCATTTTGATTACTGTAGCCGCACTTTTCCAGTTATTTGAAGCACTAATGTATCTTCAAGTGTCTGCTTACTAATTCACATTCTGAAGCTGCAATTTTTATACCAAATCATCAAACATTGACTTGGTTTCGTTTAAGAGTTTTAAAATGCGTACGAGATCAGATTATTCTATGTATAAACAACATTTTTCTTCCTGTACGACAGGTGTTTTTTAGAGATATCTAGGTTTACGAAGTCAATTTTGTCTGAGTGTTTCATCGTCGAATTTCGCAATTAACTGTTCTATCTTTTACCCATAGAGGTCTTGCTATATTTGTAACGAATCATCGATTACCCCTCAAAATTTAGTTGATAAAATGGTGAACAAATATTATTCACCCATTTTCAATTTCCGGTTAATTAGAGGTTAACATTGAAAAAATAACTAGGAAGCTATAAAGTCAGCTTAAGCGTTTCGTGTGAGAATAAATTGGTTCCACACTTGACAGTTGAGATTTTAAATTAGTCCAGTAGCGCAGAAGCCATCTGAGACAAAATTTAGTGCTTAAAATGGTGGACAAATATTGTTCACCCATTCTCAATTTTCGGTTAGAGGTAAACATTGGAAAAAAAAATTAGGAAGCAAGAAAGTCAGCTTAAGCTCGAGAAACGATTGGTTATGCATTTGACAGTTGTCACTTTAAAATAGTCCGGTAGCACTGAAGCCATTTGAGATTTTGCGGAAGAACTTTCAAGCTTTCAAGATAAAAGAGCACTGACTCAAAGCAACAAACAGACCTGCAAACCACAATCCCAACACGTTGTTGGGCTTAAGAATGGGGAAACGCTTTTTACCAGCTCTGTCTTCTCTCTTCCTCTTTTTCTTGTGGGGAGGATGGCTTTACTACTCTACAAATGGAAACCAGGGTAAGTCTTTCGATTTAATCCAGTCCCCCTGCGCTCAGAGGTCTTTAAGCTATAGAATGCTAGTCAATTAATTATTTGTGCAGAATGAGCAAAATATGTTATTCTTGTGTAAAAGAGATTCCTGTGTCTTTTTTCACGCTAAAAGTTTGCCTGAAACTTGCTTTAAAAAGCGTAATATCATCCAAATAGTTTCAAAGCTGGAAATACTTTTTCCGGGTGAAATTTTTCTTCACTGCATTTTTTTTTCAATCATGTTCTTTTAAGTCTAGTTGCTCACAGAAGATTGAAGAGATGCGCGCATTTTGATTGGTGGAGGATTTCGTCATAACTCGCTATTATGAGCTCACACGAGGTGATTATTGCAGGAGCACTAAGTTTCAAACGGCTACCTCGCGTTTTCTTAATGTTTCCAAGGAAGAGATAAACGCGATTGAAAAAAATTTAATTGCAAAGAGCACAAAAGAGGGTAAAAGTTTGGCGCAAAACCTTTCAGAAGAAAGATGTGACCTTTTTGCTCGCTGAATTGATTAACCTAAAGCTTTTCTGCGTGTCTAACCTGAGATTGCTTTCAGAACCCGCGGGGAAAACTGTATAGATGTAATAGTAGATATCAAACTAGCCTGGTCTTTTCGGTCATTTTGTACGTTATGAATCCTAGTCTTTTCCCTCTGACTTATTCTACGTACACTTTCCAGGAAAAGCCCATGGTATCCTCGGTGTTTTTGCGACATCGCGCGCAAGGAGCATGCTGAAAGTTTAGGAAAACAAAATAGAATGGACTTAACGGACAAAGTTCAATTGTTAAGGCTTCAAAGTTATTTTAAAATCAAAATTTTTAAATTAGAAAGGCATGTTCTGGCACCCTAACCAGTGCAGTTTCTTTTTTTACCTGACCGTTTTTTATTTTTTTGCATCATTTCTTAAAACAAACTCCCATCTGGAATGAGAATAGAACGGCTTTACTGGTGTGTAAAGTTACCCGGACCCTCGAGAAACGGGCCCCCAGGCTTAAAAATGAATCAATTTTAAATAAAAATCTAAATGCTTGCAGGTTTCGGCTGCCGAAGTCTACGTTTTGTGACACCAGTTGGAGGATATGCTCTTCGACGCCACGTGTTTAAGGAAATTCATTTACAAATGGGAATTGAGCTCAGTGGTGACTGTAGACAGCAGTGCCTCTTGGAAAGAACCTGCGTGTCTATAAACATCGGCTCACCTGACAAGAATGGTCTCACGGTGTGTCAACTGAGTGATTCTGACCACATCCAACATCCTAAAGATCTTAAGCCACAAGAAGGGTTTATTTACTGGGCTACAGAGGTGAGAGATTTGTTTAAGTGAGCATTGATTTTTGCTTCCGTAGTTTCAGAGCAAAAAAATAATAATATGTGTTTTCCTATCCCTTAAGAATCCTTGTACTAGTAAGCCCTGCTTCCATGGTGCGACCTGCCTTAGTGGATTCACAGACAAGAGATACCTTTGCCTATGTCCAGTTGGTCACAAGGGAGAAAATTGTGAAAAAGGTGTCAGTAACTTTTTTTTAATAATTTTTATACTATTGTTTATTCGCTTATTGTAAAGCTGTTTTCTTTGTTTAGACAAAAACGAGTGTACGGAAAACACTCATGACTGCCATGCCAAAGCTGTTTGTCATAATACCGAAAGATCCTATAGGTGCAGCTGTAAAGATGGTTATCGGGGTAATGGACGGAATTGTACAGGTAAGGTTGATACCTGGTCCCAACAAGCCAGTATCTAAGGCTCCCTTGAATTGCATGATTGAATTTGACCGCAGGCAAGCTCTTGTCGATGCAAGTTTGTTTTTCTCGTTTAGACAAAGACGAGTGTACGGACAAAACTCATGACTGCCATGTCAAAGCTGTTTGCAATAATACCGAGGGTGCATATAGATGCAGCTGTAAAGAAGGTTATCGGGGTAATGGACGGAATTGCACAGGTAAGGTTGATACCTGGTCCCAACAAGCCAGTATCTAAGGCTCCCTTGAATTGCATGATTGAATTTGACCGCAGGCAAGCTCTTGTCAATGCAAGTTTGTTTTTCTCGTTTAGACAAAGACGAGTGTACGGACAAAACTCATGACTGCCATGTCAAAGCTGTTTGTAATAATACCGAGGGTGCCTATAGATGCAGCTGTAAAGAAGGTTATCGGGGTAATGGACGGAATTGCACAAGTAAGGTTGATACCTGGCCCCAACCAGCTAGGACATATGGCCATCCTGAACTGCATTACTGAATTTGACCGCAGGCAAACTTTCGTCATACAAGTTTGCTTTTCACGTTTAGACGAAGACGTGTGTACAGACAACACTCATGATTGCCATGCTAAAGCGGTTTGTAATAATACTGAGGGATCCTACAGATGCTGCTGTAGAGAAGGTTATCGGGGTAATAGACGGAATTGCACAGGCAAGGTTGATAGCTGGTCCAAATCAGCAAGAATTTAAGGCCATCCTGAATTTAATAATTGAATTTCACCGCAGGCAAACTTTCTTCAATACAAGTTTGCTTTTCCCGTTTAGACAAAGACGAGTGTACAGACAAAACTCATGATTGCCTTGCCAAAGCCGTTTGTAATAATACCGAGGGATCCTACATGTGCAACTGTAAAGAAAGTTATCGGGGTAATGGACGGAATTGCACAGGTTAAGTTGATAGCTGGTTCCCAACCAGCCGGGATTTATGGCAATCCTAAATTGCATGACTGAATTTGACTACAGACAAGCTTTTGTCACTGCAAGTTTGGTTTTTTCGTTTAGACAAAGACGAGTGTGCAGAAAAAACTCATGACTGCCATGCCAAGTCTGTATGTAATAATCCCGAGGGATCCTACAGATGTAGCTGTAAAGAGGGTTATCAGGGTAATGGACGGAACTGCCTAGCTACGGTTGAATTGATAACTGGAGCCAACAAGCCAGTATGTATGGCCATCCTAAATTTCATAGTTGAATTTGACCGCAGACAAGCTATCGTTAATACAAGTTTGTTTCTCTCGTTTAGACGAACACGAGTGTACAGACAAAACTCATGACTGCCATGACAAGGCTATTTGTAATAATACCGAGGGATCCTACAGATGCAGGTGTGAAGAAGGTTACCACGGAGACGGGCGAAATTGTACAGGTAAGGTTGATAGCTGGTCCCAGCAAGCTAGGATCTAAGGCCTTCCTAAATTACACAATTGGTTATGATCGTAAGCAAGCCCTCACTAGAACAAGGTTGTTTTTTCTTGATTTCTTACAAATTTTTTGAGAGTATTTCAGTTGAGGACCGAAAGAGGGACTGGTCATTCGCATTTTAATCATGTTTACTGAATACTTAGTGAAATGCGCTTCGGATAAAAAGAGATATTAGGGGAAAGTTGACGAATGGTTTAGTATATTGCGCATTATTCTTGAGAGAAATCTGTGAACACGAAGTGTGTGTGATTTGTTTCTATTTTAGCGTTTAGACATTTGTCGGACCTGAAATTTGTTCTTCATTTCAAAACAATCTAGATGTAGACGAGTGTATCACCAATACCCACAGTTGTCACTATAGCGAGATTTGCAAAAACACAAATGGATCTTATACATGCCAGTGCAAACCAGGAATGAATTGCAGTAAGTAATTTGTACCAAGGTCACTGAACTGTGTGGCAGTTGCTAAATCACTTCATGTATCTGTATTATTGAATTTTTATCCTCGGATTTTCTATCATTTCTGGCCCTCTGATTGGTTCAATTGATCTCCGGTTAATAGCCCGCGGACTGTCTTCAAAGGCGTAGTGCAGAAACACGAATACGGTGCAGAAACTCAAAATCAAATGAGAAAAATGAACAGGGCCTGGTAATGACAACAAAACAAGTAACACTGAATGTGTTTTTCAGAAGGAGAACATCTTTTTGTGCATATTTATACACCTCTTTTCGGAAAAGGTTCCCTGAGAAGTGTTCATTGCCTTGCATACCATTCTGGGATGCCAGCCTTTTTTAACCCAACTTGCAAATGACGCCCTCATTTTTTTTTTCTCTGACTCTAAGAGTCTTCCTCGCATGTGACAGACGGTTGCAATTGTGCAAGTTTTGAAGCGATAAATTCTTCTTCTTTTGTTAATCGACCAAGTTCGAACGGCATCTCTCCTGACATTGATCAACATTTTTCTTTCAGCTTGCTTGAACTTGAAGACATTTAGTGATGCTTACTGCAACAAGCATGCCGAACAATATTGCGGTTTTCACTGGTTCTCAAAGTACTGTAAGAGGTCTTGTGGTCTCTGCTGAGGTTAATTGTCAATGGAAGTGGGTTCCGATTAAATTCCTCCTCAACCGCAAACTTATCCATTCTGCCACTTAACTGCAAAAAGTCTGACAAAACCTAATATTTTGAAGACTAGAGTAATTATAAATTATGCTAAATTATCCAAAATTCAGGAAAAAAACAGCTTTATTCTAATGAGATAAGACAGGCGTTGTGAGAGAGAGCTAAATAATGAAATGCTACGTCAGAGGGTATGCGGTCAACAACACGGGCTCAAGTGTCATGGGTCGAAAATTTGGCGAAATTAGCGGGAAATAATTAGGGCTGACTTTTAAAACCGAGGAACTCCGTTTTCGTCGAAGGCATTTTCCTATTTCCAGAGGTTTTAAGACGAAAATCAATTTTTGAAAATTTTTAGTGGGTGTACCAAGTTTTTGGAGGCTGTTCTGTAAAAGAAAAGCGGCAAGGAAAACGACGCCTCAAAGCAACAGAATGGAAATCAACCATGCGAACGGCTTAAAATCCGTGTTTCCGCGGCAAAACCTAGCGCATGCGTATAAGTTATTCAGCTCTGTCGCGTTGTACCTAGTTAGTTTCAAATTTAACCAAGTTATATAGCTTTTTTGCTGTAATCTAATTTCAGTAATAAATGTTTTAAGTAATAACTGTATTTTTCAGTCTATCACCTTAATAAACCACGTAGGATATTGGGTGAACTCAAGAAAAGTTTACAAAAGCACTAACCAGAGACCAGTGATTAACGAACTCCTTATTTGTATTGCTGTAATGGACTGGCTATGGCCTGCCCTGGCGATACAATACAGGAAACTTTTGAGAGTGCAAAAGTGGAATCGACAACCCACACCTTAATTGTCCCTCTCTATTTCCTTATTTCTCTCGCAAGAACTCATTACTTGAGTGAATAATGCTTACTTCTGCATCCTCATTCACAAAAAAAGCAGGAGTAAGACCACCCCACGTCACAGGTCACGTGAGCGTTCAGGTGCAGGATTTAATATGGCGGCAGAGGAAGGAAATTTCAGACATTTTCGAGTTCCCATTTCATTAGGTTAGAAAGTTTTCGACACTGGAAAACGTGCTTTTTAATGGCGGAGATGAATTCACAAGGTTCCAGCTACATTCTTTCCCTTAGAGTTTTGTACTTACCTTATAAAGAATAGGTACTGGCTGGTCACTCGTGTAACAGTGTCCATAAATTGTCAAGGAAATATCATCGGTTGAAGGAAGAATTTCTAGTATCGTAATTATGTATTCCACTGGGTGATACATATTTGCGTTGTACAAAAATATTAATCAGACTTGTATGACCCTAATGAAATCTTCTAATGTTTGTGATGAAATAGTTCATTTTACAGTTGTGTGCTTGGTTTCCAAGCCATTGAACGGAAGTGAGGCTAGGGTTGACCTTGTTATGATACAAACCTTGCTGCCTTTCAAATATAAATCACTTTGTTATCATGCTAGCTAGATACAGGTGTCTATCAGNCGTGCATCATACGCAAATATATTTATTTATTAAATATATTTATATTTATTTATATTTATATTTATAATTAATTAAATATAATAGCGTTCATTTTTTATCTTTGAAAGAATTAGCAGACGGGAAGGAACTGATGAACAGTAACTTAGAACCTCCGAGGAACAATCCCGTATTCGTCTGATAAAGCACGGGAAAAAATTTATGTTTGTAAAACAAAAATGTTATGTGTTCAGGCAGGAAATCACACAGACCTAAACAAAAAGGATGTTTTGGGCCGTGTGGCTTAAGCTAGAACATCTCTTACCGCTGAGACGACAGAAAAAACCATTGAAGTGACAAACAGGATATATATATACAGAGAGGACGAAGAACGTGAGTTGAGTTATGTATGTGGAAGGAAAATCAGCCTTAATTTATTCAAGTTGATCATTCATGCAATAATCATCAAAGTGTGAAAAAAAATTGTCTTTTCTACTCTGTCTCTGTTTATGTGCAGAGGAAGAGCAAGCCATACCTATCTTTTCTCAGATTTTCACTTTTTTCTCTTATATTTGGTAAGTTCTTTGAAGAGGACATAATTAAAATGTGTTGTTGAAATTGAGATCAAGTCGAGCTTTTATAAGTTCTGGGCTCCCTTGTTGTTCTAACTTCACTGGAATCGCCCTGATTTACAAAACTGATTAAAGGAAAACTTTTGAACGTGATATGATACCCTGTATCGAAAAACGTTACATCCTCTGAAATTAAACAGTTTAAAACGTTTAAAAAATTATAATAAAAGAACCGGCTAGTGATCACACTCCACACCGTTGATATCTTCCAAACTACCTTTCGGAAAAAAAAAAAACATCCTGTCACGCTCTGCCACGTCCTGTCACGTTTCTAGTGCACCCCGAGAACATGACAGATAAAAGGGAAGCTGAGAGCAAACGTGACACAATGAGAACATGGCAAACTCAAGAATTGTACATTCACCTGAAGACCTCTGAAGCCTCTCGATCTTTCTTCCCTGAAAAACATCGTTTTACTTCCTCAGTAGAACCAAACAAAACGGTAAGATTTCATGCAAAGAAATCAAAATTTCTGAGAAGCCACTGATCGCGGAGAAAGAGAAAGCCACGCACAACTTTCGGATCTATTCAAAAATGGTAAGTACGCTGTCGTGAACACAAACATCAAGCAAAATATAAAGCAATGCAAAGATTTCTCATTTTTAACACAGCGTTGTTTAACCAATCATCGAGTGAAACACCTTAAACGCGCTTTTCGACCAAATAAAAAAATTGCCGGTTATGTCGTTGTCGAGTAAAGACGTATTGACCGTATTAGGCACTGAGAAGAAACAACCTTGTTAAATCTGTTATTTCAATTGTTTTGTCTTAGAATCTTTTACCAGCCGTTGCTGTCACCTTTCTTTTATTTGTCTACATCTCACATTCAAATGCTTCTGTGCTAAGTTAAATTTTTGAGAATGCTTACTTAATTCTACATTTGTTCTCTTGAGAAGTTATTGATGAGAAATTTCAAACGCTTAACTTAGTTCCAGGCTGACTAAATTCAATTAACTTTTGGTAGAGCCGGTTGCATTTTAGCAATTCAATTTTTGATTTCATAGCTGTAATTTCAATGTCGGATAGAGTGAACTTTTAACAATCTGTTTTCATTTATTAAGAGATAGTTGGACGGTATAGGAATTTCATTTTAGATTTCAGATTTCATTTTTATCGTCTGCCCATGCTGCGTTAAAACGGTTTCAAACAAGGAGGTGGGAAAGAAAAGAAAATCTAGGAACAGTAGAATAAAGGCTGATAGTTTCTAAAGAAACTGTTAGGGGCTGCGTCGGTGGGGGTAACATAACAACATAAGCAACATAGGGGAATCTGCGGTCTTTCCTTACACTTAGGTAGTACGGAAAGCCGTAAAACTCTTTAACAAAAGCTCATCTTTCAAACCGGCAGTCTAAATCCCACAGGGATCAACGAACGCTTTTCATTTCACTAATTTATTCGTGTTTTTCTCCTTGCCATGTTCTCCCACCAATAACGTAACTCCATTTTCTGCCTTTAAAAGCACACACAACCAACAACTCCTCTATACGCCCCGAAGAAGGGCTAACGCTCGAAACGTCAGGTTTTGTAATCGTTACGGTGGCCAATTTACCATTTCAACTTTGTTGATATATCCAAATTATATTCAAGTAACAGTAGGTCGTGTAAGCCTAAAGGCGTCCCCACCACTCTCCTTGATCTTGAGCCGTATCTGTTATTCACCGTCCCCCACCGTTGTACTTACGATGGATGCGATAAAAGCCCGCGAATCAGCAACATGACGCGTACGGTCGCGCATCTACCACACTCCTACCTCCCTCGTAAATTAGTGATATCTGTCACTCTTCTTTTTTTTTTTTTACAGATCCCAAAT